CATCATTCACATTAACAGAATACCACATGGCATGTATGGAAAAGATTTTTTGTAGCCCATGACAATTCTTCGTCCATTTCCAAGGCGTTTCCTTCGAGTACACACCTGTCGCTTTGCGTGAAGAATGAAAATTTCTCTTTCCTACTGACCACAAAAAATCAAACGGAAACTGTAGATTGGAAAAGATGGCACAAAACTGAACAGTACGTCGGATTGATTTATGCTACAACGGTTCCGGCGGCTGTTTTCGAGGCATGGGTTTGTCCGTACACCATCTATGAAATGAATGCCTGGTATGACTGCTATTGCCATTAAATAACGAAGAATTGGAACCCAACGTGTATTAACTCGTTCTGTTTTGTATAACTGATTTTGCTTCAATTCGGTAAAATGTCCGTATTCTCTGCACCACATCCGTCAAAAGGCTTGCAACTACTTTTTGCTATTCCAATAAACTGGACTTAAAGTATTACCAAATTCTTCGCTGTGGCCACTTTCTGCAAAGACCCGCATCTCTAATAAATCGCTGACTTTTCGATAACGATGTGGAAAAAAATTATAAGTACACAACTAAATAGCTGGATAAGGAAGACGGCATTTGCCTTGAGAAAGCAAACCGATGGACTCACTGCTACCGATTAGCCACCAGAAACACGTTTATTAGCAGCATTAACCATATAATTTCATACTTTAATAATAACACAGAAACAAGAAGAATCAACAAATTAACTTACTAGTACGCCTACAACACTGAACACCTTTCAATCTGCGAACCAAACCGATTAAGAAAACCACCTGAGCAACAAAATTCTTATGATACAAGAAAACAGCCGAACTTTGAAATATATTAGGGAATATCTTGGTAAAGCAACTTTATACACAAAACAAAAAAGAAACACGCAGCATAGCTGCAACAGAACTTCGCTTTTACAACCGACAAATACTTAGTATGACCAGGTTCCGGGTACAGAGGCGAAGAACGGACGAAGCGTAGACCAAGCGACCACTATGGCTGCGATAGACAAACAGGCAGAGCGCAAGCGGCTGCGACCATCATGGGACTACGGGTCGCTACGCTTCCCGCGACACCTTATACACGACCTCACCGGATGGAACAAAAGTGATGGTGGAGGTGGTGGTGGCTGATGATGACGGCCACTGTCGACTTATTTATTTATAGAAACGGTTGGCATCCGACACTTCCACCGGTTTTCCCGGATGCTCCGTCACACAGTGCTGCTTGACAATGTACTTGCTGTGAGCAATATAGTTGCAGTAGCGGCAATGCCACACCCTGTAAGCTTGTCCGAGTTTCACGTCGGCTGCCGCCGCCGCCGCTGCTGCTGCCGCGGCAGCCTCCTTGGCGCCGTTGTTGGTCGCTGACGACGACGAATCATCTGATGATTCCTTGTTGTTGATGACGGTGGTCTTCTCCTTAATGATGGTTGATGATGTCCTGCGACGGCCCCGGCCTTCGGAGCGCAGCAGAGCGGCGATATCCTCATTGATCGCCGATACGTCTTCGACTAACGACGACTTGGTTCTTCGCAGCCGCGATGCACCGGCGCCCGACTCCTTGCCGGATTGGCCGGAGCCAGTCACGAAGCACTGATGGATCATGCGGGTGACCTTCTCCTTGGACGCCACCTCCGTCTCCTTGAACACAATGTTGACCGGTAGGCCGATGTGCTGTCGCACAACGTGCCTGCGAGTTTCGCCGCGCAGACAGCTCTTGTAGGCACAGTAACCACAGTGGTACGGTTTTGAATCGAGATGATTTTTGGCGTGGACGGACTTGGACAACAAAGTGTCGGCGACGTCCGTTTTACACAATAGACAGGGAACTTTGTCGTTAGCCAACGTTGCAAACGACGTCACTTCGGGAAAACATTTTTTCTTCCACCGCAGAACCTCATGGTCAATACCAGGCGTCGGAAAGTAATTGATTGTGGGAGCACAGCCTTTGTGAGCATTTTGAATGTGGCGGCGTACCTTGGATTTAACGGGCGACTTGTATTCACAGTGACCACAGCAATAGCTAAAAAACATTGACATCAATAGTAAGAAATACAAGACATAGTGATCAACGAAATTCCTAAAAGCAAAGATACTAAATGAACAATAAGACATTCCTCCCAAGCTCATAAGATATGCTGGCAATGCATCTAAAAATAAGCCTTCTAAGAAATTTAAAATTTAGCAGGAATGAAAATGCATGTCAAACGGCTAAAGATATGGTTAACAGACAAGCAATCTATAACAGTCGTCTATCGATATTGCATTTGACATGAGTTTGATAATGTAATGATTTTTCCAAACGCCGACCGCTAAATAAAGCACATTTATTTTGAAACCGTCTTCGCACCCTGCAAAAACGGAAAATTTTGAAATAATATCTGACTCGGTCAGTCTAACTCGTTAACTTATGAAAAGTTATAACTTATGTTAACAAATCTAGACAGAGAACAATTACAATATTAAGGAAGACCCAGAATCGAAATGAGTATCCAATATCATTTACAGGGCAGTATGGTCGAAAGTTGCTTTCTTCTTACCGGAGCATAAGCCAACTGAAGATCGATTTACCTGAGTCAACTATAATCAACTGTGGCAGGTCGCACTGGACCGGAAAAAGGTTATATCACCATGAGCAGTCACTGTCGCAATAAATGCTGACAGACCAGACACAGTTGACGAATGACGCAACTTGGTCATAATTCCGGGTGATAGACGTCATCGCTCAGAGGTGACATTAGCCTGGTATCTTGTTCGGACGGATGATCGAAGGCGTTTGCCGGCTATAACAGACGCGGGGCATCATCGCCAATGGAAACGCGTAATGCTGTTATGACAGGTCACAGCAGGTCAGTGCCACGCGACGGTCGACGGATGGCATGGTCTAGGTAAGACAGTCACCAGCACAGTAAATCATCGATATGATCGATGACTGCTGATCCTGACAGCGGCAAAGGGGAACGTGCTGACGATGAACGCGGATTAGCTATGCCGTTTGAAGAAAATCCATATAAGAGCCAATCGGTCATTAATGTCCTGCACTGAACGCGTAACTTGGGTGTGATAACCTACGTGATGTCACAGGTTGTAACTGGTGATACAGAAATTGGTACCTTTCGGGTATCTGCGCGTCTTATCCTCAGACACAAAACAATATTCACGGGATTGGCGGGCTGGACCCGCGCCGCAACATAATCAACAGCACGTTTACTTCGGAACAGTAGCTTAACATATAACATACAGCGGTAGTTCTAAGTTCTTGGTCCTGTACAAAACTTTACGAAACAATATTCTTAATATCCCGTTAAATATTCTTAATTTTTGATCCACTACAGCATTTTCCTCCTCTCATACCTCATACAAACACAGCCACTGACTCCATATAATTTTAAACTTGTTTCGGAATTACTTAACCCTTGATGGAAACCAAACATAGAAAATGTTTTCACGCGTTACGACTCAACGGTCTGCATATCACCTCAGATCATTGATGCAAAATGGTATTTACAGCAAATGCATATGATGCTTTCTGATGAATAAAAAGGAGGTATTTTTCGACTTCATTCATATGAGTAAGATACAACCCGCAGATTGAGAGAGCGACGCATATGTTCAAGAACAGACGCACTGGTGAGGAAACTGGACGCACTTAATCGGCCTATGAAATGGGGCAAAATGAAAGCAAACAGTCCTCAGTTCTTCTACAGGACTGCTGGCTTTCTGGATGCAGTGGATATAAGTCTTCAAGTACAGCGTCAATGACAAAAGTACGAAAGACACCAAAGCGAAGGAAAACATCACACTGGTAATGATCAATGAAATTTTTCCATCAAATGCAAAAAAAGCTGGTTCAAATGGTTTTCATAACATAAAATAAAAAGCTGTTGATTACTGGTGTTCCTGTTACAAGGAAATACATAGCATAAGAACGGCGGAAGACACGTAAAAATTAAACCAGACAGGAAGCAAACACTTTTTCTCCGCACTTAAGCATCTTCTTCTTTCATGGCCCCTTCTAATTCCGGGTCACGGAGGCAGACACGTCAGACAAAGCTTCCAATGTTCCCGATCCTGTGCCAGAGTCTGAGCTTCAGCAAAAGACAACTGGAGTCTGGAAGAGACTGCTTCCATATATTTGCACCAGGTTAATCTTGGCCGGCTCCTGAGCCTTCTGCCGGTCGGTTGGGCAAAAAGCAACTGCCTAGCATTCCTTTCTAGAGGCATTCACAACACGTGCCCAAGCCATTGCAGCTGTGACTTCTCAACCTGGCGAAGCAGAGGCTCTACACAAGGGCTATCCTGGATGTCTGTATTCCGGACGCGTAAGGCCAGCGACACGTCTAAGAAAGCCCATTTCAGCAGCTTCTACCAATGTTCGAAGCTTTTCACTCATGGTCCACCACTCATGACCATACGCAAGCATGAGGATAAAGATCGACTTGAACATCGAGAGCTTAGTTTTCAGACTGAGCTCTGCTTTAGTCACAATGGGTCAGGCTAGTTTACGTAGAACGCCACTGGCTACTCCAATTCGCCGGTGGATCTCTTCCTCAAACTTTCCATCACTAGTAAATGCAGTTCCGAGGTACCTGAACTTTTCCACCTTCTCCACCGCCTCTCCGTTAATCTGAAGAGAGCAACGGGCAGGAGAAAGAGAAAGCACTAGGCTTTTCGTTTTAGATGCGGTCACACGCATGCCGGTCATATCGCACTCGGCTGCGAACCTTTCCAGGGAGAACTGAAGATCAGTTTCAGGAGATGCCAGTAAAACAACGTCATCGGTACACTCATTGCCTTGGCTGCTCTTGACTATTCTATCTATACAACACAAAGAGGAAAGGGGACACGACACAGCTTTGGCGAAAACCAGTACCAATGTCGAAGGGTTTCGACTTAATGC